GCAAACACATGTGACATTTCAGCATTTCTGGTGTAAAGAGAAAACTTGCTGAAAACAAACTTTTGGGCGGGGTAGACGCAAGATTATTTCCGTAAGATGAAAATCCTTAGCAGCAAATTCAATTAAAACAAAACACCCTGGAAGGACGTGCATTGGGGAAACGGGTTGAGTAAAAACGGAGAGCAGTTCAAGTCCTGGCTGCTCAGTGTCTGATTCCGCTCCCTGTTAATGGACCGCGGACAGTGGAAAGGCCTTGCCTCCACACACACCCATGTGGACTTGAATTTTGGGTTCCTCGCTTATGCAGACCCAGCCCTGGCTGTTGGGGCCACTTGGGGAGTGAACCAGCAGGTGAAGTTCTCTGTCTCTCACTCACTCTGCCTTTGAAATACATAAATCTTACAAAAAAAAAAAAAAATCTGGAGAGCCAAAAGAGACCCTCCATGCTGGCTAACCAGCCTGTGGCATCCCGCACAGGTGGCTGGCTCCTGTCTGCCAGCTCCACTTTTGATCTAGTGCCATGCCCATGACCTGGGAAAGCAGCAGAGGATGGCTCGAGGCCTTGGGCTCCCGAACCTGCACGGGAGACCTGGCAGAAGCTCTTGGCCTCAGATCGGCTCAGCTTTGGCAGCTGTGGCCACTAGGGGAGTGAACCAGCGGTATCTTGTGCCTCTCCCTTTAACTCCACCACCTTGCAAGCCAAAATATAACAAGCCCTAAAAACAAACAAGCAAACAAAAAAACACCACAGTCAAAACTAAGTATGGGAAACAACTGGCAGCCTAATTCCCAAGGACGTTTTCTAGGTTTCCCCCAGGTCGTCCTGGACCGCCCTCCTGCCCTCAAACCCCGCAGCTCTAGGGGTGCCATCTGTGGAATGCTGGCATCCCCACGTGGGGAGGATGGCAAGTGCTTTCCCAGGGGGAGCACCTTTGAAACCCACTCATTCTTTCCCCTGAACCCCAAAAAGCACGTGTTCCCTGCCTCCTCCACTCCCACCACAAGAAAGGAAATGACTTAAAAAAAAAGAAAAAAAAAACACAACCTTCCGTGGTAAAGTAACTAACGCTGTAAATAAGAGCCTTCTGAGGTCAGTTTAGGTTTCCAACACCAAGCTTTCGCCAGTGAAAAAAACTTTTTACAAGTAAAGGCATTTTCGAAAACAGTCTTCGGACAGAAATCGGCCTGCGTCCGAGCCCACTGAGTCAGGTTTTCGCAGTTCTGGAGGGGAAAACCCTGGTTTCACTTGCACAGAAAGAAACTGGCGGATGGGGGGGAGGGGCGGAGGGGCTTTTGCAGCCAGCTTTCCCACCAAAGTTCTAGAACACTTACTGTGCACAACTTCTCACCTTCCACAAATGCAACACAAATGGAAGGCTGTGCGAGTCTTTCTCCCCTCCATTCGTTCACAGCTAAGGTACAGATCACTAAAACAAGAACCACGACCCTCCGGTGTGCTAAAATTAAAAACTTCCCCAATACCGCTCGTTCTAGCCCCAACTGCGCTACAAAGCATGGGGAACTTGTCCCAAGCATTTCGGGTGTATGTGCAAACGCCCTGCGGGCACTTCAGACTTGAGTCACAGAAACAACTGCCCCAGAGCAAGCTTAAGTAATTACTTAACTCAAAAGTCCTCTATTTTCCTAACAGGCTCCTTTCATTCACTTCAGAACGGTAACAATGTGAATTGCCATTTAATATTATTAATTTGCCCAACCAAAACGTGGGAGAAATCTGCTTATTAAATAAAATTAAAAAAAAAAAAAAAAACGGGTCTCCACTTGCGTGATTTCTTCCTCCCCCACCCCCCAGACTGGGTGGATAAGACATGAAGTTTTAAATTCTAACTACAAGGTGTAAACGCTGGAGAAATGAGGAAAGCAACACCAGATTCGGGCTGCTTTTCGGATGTCTAGACTGCAGACAAACCCCAAATTCCAAAGAAGCATCCATGTGTCAAACCGGCAGAATTTTTTGAGCTCTGCCTGGGGCCACATACCGATTAAAAAAAAAAAAAAAGTTGGCTGGAAAAGAAAAATCGAGGAGGGGTGACTAAAAGGTCGAGCCCAGTTCACCGGAACTGGAGAGGAGATGGACTGGTGGGCGAGCCAGTACAGGGTCGTCTTCCTGCCCGAACTGTTTGCTTCTCTCAAGGTCAACGCAAGATAAGGCGGAGTGCAAGCAGCAAGCCTCCGCCACACACACACACACACACACACACACACACCCCTACCTTCCGGCTAAGCGACCCCCTCTCCCCAGCCACTGGAAACGCACTTGCAATGCCTTCAGGCTCCTCTCGGAACTGCACCACAAACTCTCAGACTTTCATTCGCTCAGGATGGGGGGCCCTCCACACGTGTTCGAACGCGCAGCACGAACAGGCTTTTCGAGCCTGGCCAACCCTAGCTCCAAAGCAGGTGTTTTCCTAGGACCTTTGATGGCAAGGTCAAATTCACACGCGTTTTTAAGAAAAAAAAAAAAAAAGGTGGGGGTGGGGGGAGAGGGAAGGGAGCCTCACGGATGGCTGCGGGAACCCAAGGTGAGAGCGATTAAACAACAACAAAAGAGCTGAAGGGGGTCCTGGCCACCGGCACCAACTCTGCACCGCCCTCCGGCCCCCCGAAACCTACCTCGGCGGCGCCTCCCACGCGTGCACACACAAAGGGCCGGCGGCACGCACGCTCTGGCCCCGGTCCTCCCTCGGCTCGGCCGCACCTCACGGAGCTCCGAAACTTCCCCTCGGCGCCTTTCCGGGTGGCGTCGGAGCACAGTCCCCTGGATGTGCGGGTGCCGGGCGGGCGCTCGCCCGTGTCCCCGAAAGCAGCCAAACGCCCTCTCCGGCGCTCTCGGGGGGGGGGGGTCCCGCACAGGCTGCGGATCCCGCCGCCCCCGGCCCCTGTCACGCGGCCGCCGCCGAAGGAAGAAGACACCCAGGCAGCGGAGAGAACTAGTCGCCGGCGGATGTGCCGGTCACCGAGACGCCTCCGGCCGGGCGGAAAGTTCCAGCGCAGGGCGGCCGGCGGGGCCGGGGCGGCGGGAGGAGAGCCGCGTCCCTTGCCGCCGCCCCCCTCACCTGCGCCGGAACAACGGGGCCCCCCGCGCCCGCCCTCTGGCCCGCCCGGCGCGGCGCCTCCCGCAGGCCGCGCCTCCCGCACGCCGCGCTGCCGGGGCTTGTTCCTCCTCATGGCTTTGCCCTGACGTAATTCAAACATGGCAACAGTTCGACTTCAAAGGCGAATCCACAGACCTCCCAGACGCAGGCTCCCGGGCCGTTGCCGTAACGGGGTTCGAGAAGTCCGGGCTTCGCCCTCCGGCCTCCCTGCGCCCCAGTGCCGCAGCCCCCGGGGGCTCCGGCACTGGGGCGCAGGGAGGCCGGGCCCCGCCGCCTCCCCAGGGCCGCCCGCCCGCGCCGGGGCGGGGAAGCACGCCGCCTCCGGTGCTCCAGCATGGCACCGCGCACGAGCCGCGCCGCCAAAGTTTCCCCACGAGGGGCTGAGGGACAAAAGCCGTCCCGAAACTCGCCTTAACTTAAAGGGGGGCCGCGCCCCGCAAGGGCCTCGGTGCCGGCACTGGGCGCGGGGGCCCGCACGGGCACATGCAAGCCCTTTGTTTTCCCGTCCAGCCGGCGCTGCCTACGTGCAGCATCGGGGGTCGGAGCGTTTCTCGGGGCGAAGAGGGTGGGGGGGCAGATGTTTGGGGCCACCATCCCGGAGCAGGGTGCGGGGGTCCACGGTGGCGGGGGCTCATCCCTACCAAAGTTATGCAGTGTCCTTGAGGGAAGGAAAAAAAAAAAACAAAACCCGCCCGGATCGCCGCCCCGCACGCGCGGAGAGTTGGCGACTTTCGCTCTGCTTTTTAAACTGGCAGGACGCCATCATCGGCGGATCACATTGTCCATCGCCGGCCCCGGCCGCCCGACGGCCGGCAGCAGGACAAGCCGGCGCGGGGCCCGGGGCCGCAGCCCGCGCGGCACGTGGTCTGTCACGGAGGGCACAAAAAGCCGTGCCCCCTCCGGCGTGCCCTCGCGCGCTGCCGGCCCGCACCCCACGCCCCTCCCTGCACCCGGCTCCGCGGGCCATCTTAGGAGCGCAGACAGCGGCCGCGCCACGCCGCGGCGCCCACACCTACGCCACAGGTGAACGCATGGGTGGCACAACTTGGGGCTGCGCGGGCACCGCGGACTCGGGCCGCTCCTGGGCGCGGCCCGGGGGTGGTGGGGTGGGGGGACGGCGGGCGCGCGTGGCAGCCGGGCCGTTTGCTGGGCGACCGCGTGTTTGCTCATTGTCGCTGCCGCATCCCTCCGGAGTTGGGCAGACAACGCCGCGCCGCGTGCGCTCCCAGGGAGCCCCCGAGGCCGAGTTTAAACCCCCCCCTCCTCGCGCCGCCCGCTCGGAAGTGGAAAGCAACTTAGTTGGGGAGGGGGGTAGACGGCGCTTATTGTCCCACCCTCAGCGAGACGCGGGCGGGCGGCTGCCATGGACTCGCCACCACGAGGTGCGGGGACGGCGCCCGCCTGCCCCCACCCACCCACGCGGACGCACCGGCCCCGGCCGCCCCGCACCAAGTCCCTTTCCGCCCGGGCCTTCCCGCCTGCAGGACACACTGCGGCTGAAAAAAAAAAAAAGTCATTGTCACCTTTAACGTGGGTCCCTCAACTCCGCGACTCCCCAGTCACTGCCAGGCTCCGCTCACTTCCCCCACCCCAAGACTTTCGGTTGGCCTCAGATCCACTCCCCGGTGGAGAAAACACACACACACACCCCCGAAACGTGTGTATACAAAAGGGTCGGGGATGGGGGTGCGGGGGGGGGGCGTCTGGCCATCACGGAAACGGCGCGCCCCGCAATGCCATCTCCAAGACAAAACTTCCTCTGTGCGTGTGCGTGGTGTGTGGAGGGACGGGGGAGGTGGGTGAGGCGCAGAGAGGAAATCCCACTCTGAAATCAAAGCCTCGGGACACAGTTGTGTAGCCGAGCAGCCGGCAGAGTTCACTCACCCTCCGCAAGGCAAGCCTCTCCACGCGCGTTCAGGCTCCCGAGGTGCGCGGTGCACGCAGGCCAGCCCCTCTCCGGGCACTCCCTCCTCCGTCTCCTCCACCGCGTTGTCTAGAAAGATTTGTCTCCTGTAGTTCTGCAGTTGCTACCGCGGCCCGGGAAGGTGTAGATTCCGCTTTCGCTCTGCGCACGCGCGCTCCCAGGACCTTAAAAAAAAAAATTTTTTTTTCTCTTGAATCGGGCTCATTTGCATGCGGGCGCGCGCGCGTCGCGGGCGGGGAGGGGAGGAGGGCGGCGGGCCGCGCGCGCTCCCGGGGCCTCTATTGTCCTTTTAAGGGGAGAAGCGGCGCGGCGCGGGAAACGCGGCGGCCCCGGGGAGGCGGGGACGGGCCCGGCTTACTACGGCAACGACGCGTAAACAAACGCCCCCTGCCCCGCACCCCTTCGGCCCGACGCTGCTGGGGGTGGGTGGGTGGCGGCAGGAAACGCGGGGCTGGGCGTCAAGCCCGCCCCCATCCCAAGTTCCCGTGAGCACCAGACGTAGTTTTTGTAAGCTCATTTTCCAAAATCGTCGCACCTGTAAATTGTGACAAGGACGTGGAGGTGTCGGCACTCAGAAGGCACTCCTTCCCCATCCCCCACCCCCACTGCCCCATTGCCTCAGTTTCGCTGCAAGTTGGGGAAAAAAAAGAAAAAAAACACCGTGAGCCCCGGAGCCGGCAGAGCTGTCGTTTCCGAGCAGGTTTGAGGAAGTCCCGCGTGGACACTCTGTCTGTCCACCGACTCCCGCTTGCCCCCGTCCCGCAGCAACGCGACCCTGGGCGCCGAGCCGGCCAGCCTCGCCGAGCTGACCGGGTGGTCACTTCCGTGGCGGCGGCGATCGCCCGGGGGACCTGCCCCAGCCCCGGGCAGGGCACCACCCCCTGGCAGCCTGGGACGCGCAGGCTCTGCCTGGTGCCTGGTGGAAGGCCACGTGCGACGAGCCCACAGCCCGAAACACGGCGCTGCAAGTCGCCTGTCTCCCGACCCGGAGGGAAGCGCACCGAGCGCCTCCCCCGCGCGCGCACAGCTTCTCCCACGGGGGAGGGGGGCATGCTTCTCCCAGAAACACGACACTGGTCTCGACTACAGACGTGTGAAGATCAACCATAAAACTTAATCATCTGCTGACAAGCTTCGCTGTGTCCCTGTAGTGTCAACAACACGGATTTAAACAGATCCTTGGAAAACGCTAATTTAATTCGACAGACAGTAGGAACTCCCTGAGTGTGTCTAACCGTGAAGACATCCTGTGAACACTCACTTGTCCTGGCACTGAAAGATCCTTGCAAAGCAGCCATCAGCGGACATGACCCAATTGATCGCAACTTTATCGCGAGGACTTTATCGTGCTGTAGATGAGCTAAATGATTTTGCAAGTTTGTGGCCGTCTGGACTGGCAGGAAGCAGTCCCCGACCATTGGCAAGGACGGTTGCTTTAGCTTAGTGCTGTGGCTGGGCTTGAACTGGTGGCCCCCCCGGACCCTGAGCTGCCTCTTTAGAGGACAGTTTTAAAAGTGGTCCTACGTTGTCTCAAATACTTAGTTGGTTTACGAAAAATTCTCCAACATTTATTTCAAATTATTACATCCCTCTGAAAACGTGGAAATTGCAAGTAAGTTTATTTTTGCAAGGCGTCTCTGGAGCTATCATTCCATTTCAGGAACAACTACAAATATTTTTTTCAAACTTCAGTTAACTGTTTAAGGGAGAAAGACATCTCACACCGAGTACCTTAAACGCCCTTCTCTTGAAAGTGTATGTAAATTATGTAGGTTGTACTGCAGGCATGCAGTAAGCCTGAGGGACACGGGGAGGAATCCCAGGTCTGGTTACACTGCGGGGTAAGAAAGCTGCCCAGCCACTGAGCTCACACCACAAACAGGACGAGCCCTGCCCTCAGTGCAGGTCAGGAAGCCATCGGCGAGGCTGTGCAGGAGGAACCACCTGTTATTTTTGAGAATCCGGGTGCATTCCCACTTGAACACGTTGTTGTGGCGCAATGGACTACTTTAAAGGAGGATTCCCTGAACCCTGAGCGGCTCTTCATCTAAGGAAATGAGGAGACAAGGCAAATCTCTATGTTAGGGCACGGAGTCACAGCACACTAGAAAAATTCCCGAGTTTTTGGTTTTTTGTGTGTGTTTACAGTTTATTTAAAGTCAGACACGGGGGAGGGGGAGGATATTCCATCTGCAAGCTCACTCTCCAAATGACTGCAACAGCCAAGGCCGGGCCAGGCCCAAGTCAGCGGTCACCAACTCCCAGGTCTCCTGCATGGGTGGCAGGGACCCGAGGAAACGAGCTATCATCAGCTTGCTCCCGAGGCGCCAGGAATCCAACCAGGCACTCAGACAGAGATAGATGCAGGTGTCAAAAGCAGCAGCTTAGCCCACTGTGCCGCAACGTCAGCCTCCTCCTCCACACCCGAGAATGTTTTTTAATGCCTCTAAAGCTATGTTGAACTCCTGAGTTCAAACGGAATTTTTTTTTTTTTTTTACCAACTACTTTGATTACAGTGGGTTGTTCCATTCTGGAATTAGCCCCCGAGGCATGAGTATTTTCATGCACTCAAAAACACAGCTTTGGGCCTCCTACTGAAGCCATTTCAAAACTACAGGAGTTCAAGTCCCCTCACTTATAATTATTAGCTACATAGTTCTGCTAAAAGGTTGTTTTTCTTCTGTAGAATGAATTGTCTTCTTCTTAAAAAAAAAAATATATATATATATATTTGAAAAAGTCACAGAGAAAATGACAGAGGAAGAATATCTTCCACCTGCTGGTTCACTCTCCAGGTGACTTTCATGGTCAGGTTCAGCCCAGGAAGAAGCCAGGAGCCAGGATCTTCTGCTGGGTCTCCCACGTGGCTCAAAGACTTGGGCCGTTCTCTGCTGCATTCTCAGGCCGTTAACAGGGAGTTGGATCAGAAGTGCAGTAGCTGGGACATGAACTGGTGCCCATTTGGGATTCTGGAGCAACAGGTGCTTGTGCCACCACAGCACAATACAAGCTCTTGGGATGCCTTTTAAGATTTAATCATCATTGTCCCGGTGCAATAGCGTAGTGGTTAAAGTCCTCACTTGCACGCCCGGGATGCCATATGAGCACCGGTTCTAATCCCAGCAGCCCCACTTCCGTTGAGTTTAGGAAACAGCTGAGGGGTTTTGGGTTTGGGTTTTTGTTTTGTTTTTGTTTTACATTTATTAATCTGTTGGAAAGAATGGCAGAGACAGAAGAAAACAGCAGAGATGGTCCACCCACTGGTTCACTCCAGGATGTCTACAACCTCCAGGCAAGGCCCAAGTGCTCCCAGGAGGGGGCAAGGACCTGGAGCCATCTTCCACTGCTTCCCAGATACAATGTAGCATGCTGCAATACCCAGGACCTCAACCTTTTACATATTTTTTATTTTTACTGGAAAGACAGATCCACTGAGAGAAGACCCACAATGGCTAGGCCAGTGCTGGGCTGAAGCTCAGAGTGTGGACTGCTATCCATTTTTCTCAAGTAAGGGACAGTAATCCAATTATTATTAGTTTTTTAAAGATTTACTTCTTTTTTATTAGAAAGTCAGATTTACAAAGGAGAGAAAGAGAATGCTCTTCCATCCATTGCCTCTCTCTGCAAGTGGCCCAAACAGCCAGAGCTGAGCCAGTCCAAAGCCAGGAGCCAGGAGCTTCTTTTGGGTTGCCCACGTGGGTGCAGGGCCCCAAGACTTTGATTTGTCCTCTAGTGTGTTCCCAGGCCACAAGCAGGAAGCTGGCAGGGAAGAGGAGCAGTGGGGATACGAACTGGCACCCATATGGAATGCTGGCATATGCAAGGCGAGAACTTTAGCCACTAGGCTATTGCACCGGGCCCAGGACTGCAGTAAGGTGCACAGACACTCTGAGCACCCTAACCTTCATGTGCCACCTCTCCAGCCCTCTGGAAAAGCCCGTTATCAAACATTGGGTTTGGTTCCTGCTAAAGGCTTGAGTGCCTTCCCAAAATTCCAGCGCTGGGAAATTAACACTGTGTAATGCAACAATGTCTAGAGGTGGGACGCTGGGACCTTTGAGAAGAGGTCAGATGAGAAGAGCTGCAGCTGAGGCCCGGAGGGATGCGGGTGGGTGATCCCAGGAGGCACAGCAGCACCCTGCCCCTTTGCCCTCGCTCATGCATGCGTGCTCTCACCACTTGGCACCGCCCACCATGCTGTGGTGCTTCAGGAAGGCCCCCCCATGGGATGGGAACCCCTCTGCTGGGGCCTCCCAGGCTGCAAACCAAGAGCTGGATGTGTTCCTGTTCACTGCCCAGTCACGGGGATATTCCGTTACAGGAGACCAGACAAAGAGGGGGCCTCGGCAGGCAGTCGCTATAACAACCAAGCGTTCCTCCCCGCGCACCAAAACAACTACAGGGTTTTGTTACTTATTTGTTTAAATCCCTTTGAAGTTCAAAAAGCAAGTCAGATCATTTTACGTAGTACAGTATAGACTTGGCTATGCCAAGGTACTCCAGTCCTGCAGCAACCGTTGACAGTTGCCAGGAAAAAGGCACCTATTACTTCATTGAAACTAGCCTTTCCAATTTCTGAGCTTTAAAGGTTTATTTTTAGAAAGACAAATCTCTGAATTTGCAGAGATGTTTAGTTTTTTATGACCATTGTATGACATTTCTCTCTCTCTTTTTTTCCACAGGACATCTTAAGCGTTTGAAAGATAACACTGGGGGAGGGGATTATAGTGCAGGAGTTAAGCTGCCCTTGGAGACACTTGCACTCCATTTGTGAGTGCCTCCTTGGAATCCCAGCTACTCCAGAATTCCCACCCGGCTCCCACAATGACCCGGGTGGCAGGAAGTGATGGTGGCAGTATTTCGGCCCCTGACAATCATGGCGTAAGGCACGGCAGAGCTCTTGGATGCTGGCTTTGACCTGGCCCAGCCCTGGCCATTCCAGCCATTTGGGGAAAGAATCAGTAAATACCACAATCTTTACCTCAGTTCCTACTTTCTTCCTTGTGAATGTACTTTCAAATAAATTAGCTTTAAAAAAATTAGCCTAGTGGCTAAAATCCTTGTACACACCAGGATCCCATATGGGTACCAGTTTGTATCCTGGTTGCTCCATTTCCCTTCTAGCTCC